CTCCGATGTCGTCGAAGGTGTACGATTCTATATCCCTACGTGGCCCTTAATGCGATCAATTTCGTTAGGAAAGAACTGGCGTAGGTGTACATTTCACGTCAGACGTATATCGTTAGAAAACATAGACCGTTTGTCATCCATAACTCCTTTTGTCCGGAGATTGGAGAGAGTTTTTTTTCCTTTGGGGTATTATTTATCACCCTTACGTTTCATCGCGTCACAATTTGTGCCTTAGTCAATGAGAAAACTGTATAATGTACATTCGGCAACGAGGGTTATACAAGAGTGAATTGATTATCTATTCTCATGTGCTAGATTCAGCAGTTAAAGTTGACTGATGCACTATTAAGCATGTCTCTGATAACATTTCGCTGCCTGCTGCTTCTACAAACAGTTATATACCAGCGCGAATAATGCAGTCAGACTAGGTCTTCTTGATCGAAACTCAATTCCGAAATGCACACCTTATATTGCGAGTCTATATTCTCATGTTCAAGACTGAGTAATTAAGGTAAAGCTGATTGATGTGGCGTTGTACTCTGCTTGAAAAATACAAAATCAATCTTCAGCGTTGCATTACAAAATAGGTTCACCACAATCTTCCAAAGATCCGAAAGCAACCCCACACTTGCCACTGTTTCCTCCCCTCTCAAACGATACAGAGAGAAAGAGACAGTTTCAATCAAGCTCTGAAGAAGCCAACAGGACGATTGGCGAAACGTCGGCCATCGCGAAGACTTATAAACCAATGTGAATTATGGAGTCAGACTAGGTCTTCTGGGTCGTAGGTCAATGTCCTACCCTCGTAATCTTTATATATTTTCATGTGCTAGATTCATTGACTAAGGTAAATCTTTAGCTTGATTATGGGGGTCTCTGATAATATCTCTCTGCCTGCGCGCTTAGACTAACGTTTCATAGTGATGATTTTATTAATAAAATTAAATGTACATTCTGCAAAGAGTTATACTAACATGAACTATGAAGTCACACGTAGTGTTCTAACTCGGTCAAGATCCAACCCTCCTTAAGTTGTAATCTTGTAATTCCAGTCTGCTCGAAAAATACAAGATCATTTTCAAGCTTGCCTAATAACATCCCGATGTCTGTGACCTAAAATCAACATTTCACAATGCCGGCTTTATTAGTAAAAGTAAATGTACATTTTGCAAAGAATTATACCGTTATGAGTCTTCTGGGTCGTTCGTCAAGGTCCTACCCTCCGCAACGGGTAATTTTGTAATTCGATTCTATATTACCATGTGCTTGATTCAACGACTAAGTTAAATCTGTCTAATATAATATATATAATACTCTTGTTGAAACATACAAAATCAATCTTCAGTTTGTCTCAGAGGGTTTGTGATAACTTCTCGCTACCTAGTAACTTAGGCTAACGTGTCGTAGTGCTCTCCTTGGTTTTCTCCCACCCCAACTTTGTGATTATACGAGGTTCTGTCGATTGCAAATTAATGAAATCGCTACCTGCAAAATTCTGACGTTTAATCGCTCTGCTTGCGGTATGTCATCGCTTAATCGGCTTAATCAATCAATATTTTTTACGTTTTTAGTCGTCCCACATGTAAAAAAGTAACATTTTATTTCAGTGAAAACGATTATTATCAATGACCCGTCAATGTCGGCTCAACCCAATTTGTTTCCATTTACATTTGGAACGTCTTCCGATATATCATTCCCATGTCACTGATGTAACAGAATAAATATTGGCGCCGCACTCGATTTGAATTATTAAGCCCTTCGTAATGTCATTCGGTACCTGGATAATGCTTACTTGCCACCTAATGCTATCCACTTTCACACTTTTCCCTACATACGTTAGAGCTTACGTGTGGGTTGGGCGATAATGTCCATCAGCTGGGCTCTGTCAAATACAAATTTTCCGACTTTTCTCTATGTCCATATAATCATGTGGAGGGGATTTTGGTTGGTGACGGTTTGGTCAAGTGCAAAAGAATTGGCTCTACCAGTGAGTACACTTATGCCTTGCTGCTCATATTTGTGACGTAAAACTGTTTAGACAATTTTAAGACCGTACGTATTATTAAATTTAAAAACGTCGCAGCGGAAAATGACATTCGCAATATGAATATCAAAAATCAAATCCAATTTGCCAATGTCGTCGAGATACCATCGTCCCGCCATACGTCAACCAAATCGACTCCCTCCCATCCGACAACCGCCGCCGAGGCAAAAATGTTTAGCGAGATTAAAAGTGGATTCTGAACTGTGGCACAGTTTCAATACCACCGTGAGGGCGGGGCCGTCTGCTGTCACAAACGGGCTTGGTACACCACAAGGTTTACTCAATTGTCGTCGTCGTCATTGTGATTTCTGTAAGGGTTACGTTTTAAAAACAAGATTACAAGATATATTTTCTTGTCTGACAGAAATAACGTAGAACAAATTTAAAAGTTTCCATTTGTGCATCAGCAAAAATTACAGCGAACTATTGCAATTTAATGCGCATTTATCAAAGATTTATCATGATTTATTATTGATTCACGCGATTTAAATCGGGTCTATGTATTTAAAACATATAACGGTGGTGTGTATTCAATCAGATCGTAGTCGAATAATTATTCAGTTGATTTATCTGATTTTACAGTGATTTATCATGATTTATTATTTTTATTAGTATTGTGTATTTAAAAAACACCCCGTATAACAGCGGTGCGTATCCAGTCGGTGGAATCGTGAAATAACTATTTCAATGGTTTGTCTAATTTACGGAGGTCTATTTTTAATATTAGTAAAGTAATTTATCAATTATTATTTGGATGAGTTGTCCACTTTACAGGAATTTTCGAGGATTTGCATTATTTTATCATGAGTTATTATTTAAACGATTCAGATATCCGACTGACGAATTCAATGAACAACATTTGTCGACCGCGAAAACGGTACTGAGACGGCACCATAATTAATCCAAAACCGCTTAGAAAAAGAACCACCGATTCGGCAAAACGTCGAAAAAGGTACAGAATGGAGACGGGCCCGGTTTTGGCCCGACGCCACGCCGCTTTCACTTGTTCCGACGCCCGATCCTCCCTCTAACCCCACAGACGCCACCGCGACGCCAGAGTCGGCGACGACGCTTCCACCGACGCCCGTCGTCGTCTACGTCCGTCGCCATCCGCCCCTCTCGTCGTTCGCCCTTTTTACTCTTAGTTTTTAGCGTCGATCGCGCCCTTCTTTTCCCCTACCCCACGCAAAGGGGGGGGACGGAAGCGAAAAACTAGCCGACATTATTGCCCGCTGTTATCTCTTTTGACAAAACGACCGGCAGTAAAACTGCCGTTTAAAAGCCGAGACGAATTGAAAGGGAACAAAAAAATTGACCCCCCCCCCTTTCCGGTTCTGCTATAATTTTTTTTATAATTCTAAAAGAAAAATTTCGGTAATATCTCAGCGATGTCTTGAGGAGGGCGGTTTATGACGAGTTATCGGGGATTTACGGCGGGTTATCGAAAAATTTTAAGGACTTAGGACACATTTAAAGGGATTTCATAATAACCAATGATAAAAATCGCCCATGGCTATCCAAATTTTCTTTGAATTGCATCGAAAAGCTCTCTGATTTTTTCGTGTTTCGTATTATTTTATGCATTGCCCTTCATTTTTTCAGGCCCTTCAACTCCTGACCATGGATAGATGTCCCGCAATGCCGATTTAAACGGGATTTATATAGATTTATTTCGTAAAAATGATTTATGGAGCAATTTTTTTTGCCCGCGGCATCGATCAAGCGAAAACCCACCCCTCGATCTCGCCGTTACACCCTTTATCGCCGCCTCATGTTCGGACGATGAATTTGCAAACGCACAAGTTCGCTTCCCATCGCCGTGAAAGGCGGGCCCCTTGACTAAGCATATTATCTTAATCGATGATTCCTCCCGAAGTTTTACAATACGTCTCCTTCGTCAGGGTAAGTGGAAACTTTTCAAAATGGGATGAAAGCGACGCGGAACAGCGACGCCGTCGCTCGTATTTAAAGCTCTTATTGAATTGAATAAGCTACTCCGGGATAGGCGTATCTTATAAAAATATATTTACTCTGCGGAACTACTGATTGTGGTGCATAGCCTTAAAAAATTAAGGCGATTTACTGTGATTTATTAAGGATTTACGACGACTATCGATGATTTATCGTGATTTATGAAATGCTCTGGAACCGTGTTAGATGTTAGTGGAATAATTATGTTGACTTTTTGATTATTTGTGTGATTTACTATGATTTATTATCGATTTAAAGGATTTAAATGAAATTTATCTATTACTAAATTTTCACCAATGAAAAAAGTATTTACTTGGCAGAGCTACTAATTCTTTGGTAATTTCATTTGAGCGTCTTAAGCAAAATATCAGCGAATAATTAAAACTATTTTGATAACAGAAAATCGGGATCCGTAACTCTAATTCTCCCCCAAATCGTTGACAGTAACTGCCGATCCGTTCGGGTAATTTGGAAGCTCTAACGGCGGCAACGATTCGAGAATCGCCGAATAGGTAAGTGGGCAACAAACCCCTGCTTCCCGCCCCCATCACTTAATTATATCCGCCATTTCGATTCGGTAAAATAAATCGCAAAGTTTCGGACGAAACGCGCCAATTAAACTGTCTAATATATCTTAATAGAAACTAAGTTTTGCGCTCTCCACTATTTCGCTCTATTTTCGGGACGAGACGGGCGGGATTCGGTTATCCAATAGGAAAGCGAACCAACCACAGAAAATGGTCGAAAAATAAACAGTCAAACTTCATTTAAATCGATAATAAATCATGGTAAATCGTCAATAAACTGTCGTAAATCCTTAATGAATCGGCGTAATTTTTTCATTCCAAACGTTACGAGTTACCGGAACGTTTACAGAAATCATAATTAAAAAACCCGTTGTTGTCAAACTTGTGCGGCGATGCCAGATTTTCTCTTTTTCATGTAAAAGGTATGCGATGTTGCCGAGTCAGTTAAATTGACTTACCTGCGTGCCGTCGAGAAGGGTGTTAGTGGACCCACGAGGGGGTCGTGACGACCGTTTGCGAGTAGGCGGGCGGCGGCGCCGTCTGACTTGTGATCGTCGTATCCGCGGCCTGTTGCGCCATTCCCTGATGTTGACCCGTGAAGTTAAAGTCCAAACTACCTTCCATTGTGAGTTCGTTTCTGATTATTTCCTGAAAACAATTTTCCACCGTGGTCATCGCCGTCACCCTCGCGGTCACCGTCGCCGTTTTACCTCTACGTTGCAATCGAATCCGCCCTGAAACGTGTCTACGTTGATGTTCAGGTCGTCGTTGCTGTTCAACGCGCCGATGAATTGGCCCATCATCGTCGACGGGGTGCCCTGCGATTGGGGAGTCAGCGGAGGACTGCTAGACGGAGGCCGTGGCATCCTGTTCACCAGATACTGGTGCGAACTGAGCGGATCGGGGGACGGTTCCGAGTGGGGGTAAGAGGGTGACATGTCCGTCGGAGACATCCTCTGCAAGGGGCGTAAATTTAAAATCGCTACGGTAGGTGCCAGCGCCGCTCACCTCTACTTTGATGCAATTGGGGATGCAGGTGCAGGGCTGCATCCTGTGGATGGTGCACGCGTACGGCGACGGTCCCGTCAGCGGATGGAACTCGCGATTGGCGGGAAATTGATCGTTGAATATCGAATTGTAGGGCGGCGGCGGCTGAGCCTGGGCTTGGCCGTTCAGGTACCTGACGAACGGAACGCCTCGATCAGTCAATCGATAATTGCGAAAAAATCAGTGGACAATGTTTAAAGCACTTTGTACCGGCCAATTCGTTAACGCAGATATGCTAATTATGCATAATTAATTTTCGTAAACGAATAACAATTTTAAGGATTTTTAGTGTAAAAGTACTTTCAATTTGGCGTCCTATTAAAAGTAAAAAGAAATATTTAGCTAAGAAAAATTACTCAGTGTTATAGTGCCAGCCGTTGGCACCTCAACGCATATGCCACACTTTGCACAAAGTTTGTTTGTCCAGTTGACCTACAAAAACGATTGATACTATCAAAGCGAAAATCTGTAGAACCGAATTGGTCATTTAGCCATTTCCTGTTTCCTATTCATATTTTCTAATTTCATCGGCTGAATCAATAATCAATAATTTAGTTATATTTTACTACAACTGAACTCGATAATTGATAATGGAACATCACGTTCATTGTCAAACCGACCATCAATTTCATTAAGTTGAGGGCCTGATTGTGCTTTATGGAAAAAAAAGTTATATACAGATTATACACACACACGCCAACGTCTAAACCAAGGCATTCCGGGAAAAAAAGCAAGTAGGGTGACGGCACAGAACAAAGAGTAGTGCTTAAGCGTGCGTGCTCCCTCTCAGACCCTCTCGAAAAAGCAACAAGCATCACGCCATTGGGGCGGGTGGTACCGCCCCGAGGCGGGCAAAGGAAAAAAATCCGTGCGGGTAGGGGTGCCAGTTTCCACGTCAGTACCGACACCAGGGGGCGCCCCTTCCTCACCCCATGTAAGCGTCGCTCTGCAGTTTCATCCTCTGTTCCAGATTGCCCGCCAACTGGTCGGGGGAGTAACTGCCGCCGGTGGCGCCGGCGGCGTTACCCCCGTTGACGATTTCGGGGTTGCTAAAGGCGGTACCGGCGAATTGGGCGCTCCAATCGGGCTCCACCCCGACGGACGGTATCGGCGACAAACGGGTGGACGAGTTTGACGACGTTCTCGGTCTAAAGTCGGGGCTAAGTTGAAAACCGCCGCCGCTGTGAAGAGATATAGGGCGATATAGGGCGATAGGTACCAAATATCCCAGCCCGTCGCCCCCAGAATGATGGGGTCGATTCAACCCCATTTTTTCCACATTTTTCTTGATAATTCTACAATTGCTAAGCAGCGTATAGCGGTGGATGAGGAAATTTTCCATCAAATGGCTTTCAAGTGCGTTTTATTCGGATTTTATTGAGGTAATTGAGCAACAAAGGCATTATGTCCATGAGACCCAACAAGTGCTTAATATTTCCGGACCGACACATGCACCGATCAGATTTTGAAGGTGTAAAAATATTCACGATTTGAGAAATGTTTTGTTTATAAATATTAATTAAACGGCTACCACAGCTATGGTGAGATCGCGCGGCATTCAAATTTCCACCTTTCGCGTTATTGGCTGTACCAAAACATGGAAAATCCGGTCTATCGTCCTAAACAAGGGAATCAAACCATTAATACTGTTTCGGACTTATTTCATGAACGAACTGATGTGTCTCATTATTTATAACTGATTTAAAAAACGGAACAGATTTTTTTTTGAATTTTTAAGTGTCTCATTTTACCTCTGATATTACGCAAAGGGCTAAAAATGTAAAAATAACCAGAATTAATAATTAAAATAACGAAAACAAATTTTTGGTTAATTTTGAGGTGGGCTTCCTTGCCCCACCCTCCCCTAATGCAACACACAATTAAAATATAGACATTTAAAAAGTATTGTTAATTATAAAAACGTGTAAATACAAAAATATTAAAAACATCCCGGAATTATCAGGAGTGAAAACGGTGTAGTAAGAGAAAGTAATGAAATATAATTGTAATGATCCCATTAAATTGGTAAAAATTCCGTCCCTGCCATTTTCGATAGTATTTCTTTTTTTTTCTGGCCGTGTAAGGAAAATCACCATTTGATTTTTTCAGTAAATATTGGGATTTCTGTGTTAAAGTCATAGCTTTTATTATTTTTTGACGTAATTTTTAAAAGCAATGTACTATTTTATTTTCAATTTAAGAAATTCGTGATCCGTTTCTATTCGCTTCAGTATTTTTGACGCAAAATCTTCAATCTGAATAATCGCCCTCGTTTTTCTGCGTATGGTATTTCGACGAATGAGACGGTTGCAGTTCTCATTACAAAATGTTCATATATTTAGTACGGAATCGGCCACTCTCCCTTATTACTTTCCTTATGGGGTACCCGATAAGCGGCCCGGGTTCGAAAAAAAAAACATAACTGTTATTGATTTTATTCCGGTTTACGCGTAATATTTTTAACATTACCAATGCAACGGCATAAATTCGAATATATCTTATATATTTTCCCGCTACCATTCGAGTTTTTCAAGTCGAAAGTGTCCCGCTAAATTGAAGGTCATTTATATTTCCCCTCCTTTGCCGTATCCGTTTATGGTATTTTTATCGGAACCCAACGCTTGGGGCCGACTATTTAAAAAAAGAAGCGGTTTCTAATTGCGAATGGTCAGTTCGGAACTTTGACCTAAGAGCAAGAAAATTCTTTGCAATTTAATTAATTGTTTCATAATCGAAAAATGCTAAATAGTGGAACAACTGTTTTGAATTTCAGCCTGCAAATGTTTTTCGTTGTCCTACTCGTCAAACATGCCTTATAAAAAATTCAAGACCGCACATTCATCCCAGTTGCCTTACATTTCTTTGAGAAATAGCTTTTGGATTTTTAATTTTTTTTATTATTTATTTATTATATTTAGATTTGTGTAGAGTTTCATCCGTGGGATTCGCAATAAAACAATGTCAGAATATTTATGAAAAAAAAAAGTTTTTCTACAACAAAATAATCACTATGGAAGTCACATTAATAATTAATTCCGGCACTAGTCGACTTCTGTAAACATTTTCTTCTTCGACGACATGTTCTACACATTTTTTCCAACTAGAAGCAGATATTTTTCTTTCTAGCTTTCTAATGTGTTTTTGATATTGGAGATCATCCTATTTAATGGACAAATCAACTTAAAATCGAGCTACCTCGAGTAAGGACTGTTTTAGGAAGATTTATAAAAAGCACACTAATATGAGAGTTAAAATACGACCGTCCGAACGGCAAAGTTCTTGTCGGCTAACATCTGAAATACGGCACCGGCTTATGGGACACGTGCTGAAAAGAATGGTCCATTCCGCTTTACAACAGGCGGGTCTTAAACTCATTTCGAAGTCAAAACCATAAAAATCGTATATGGTTAGGAGAACTCTACCGCATTTTTTATCAGTAGATTTTCCACGTAATAAAAATGACGATTGTCAGTAATTAATATTCAAATGACGCGCAACAATTCTTCTTGACATTCACGTTTAATTTTTCATGTCACAACTTCCTTCAAGACATCTTCCAATATTTAGTTGTTAGAGTTTTTCGATTATCAAACCACGAATTGAATAGTAATTAAAACAAAATAATTCAATTTTTGTTCATTTCATATTTACAATTAAAAAAAAGTTCACTAAACCGACATTTTCCGACACATATTTTTTTGGGCTCGTATTGCCCCAAATTTTGATATTTCGACAGAGTTTCCCATGCAATATTCCCTATATAACTTACGATGAAAATCTGAGGATTAGTATTTTAAATTATAGCCTGAAGATGAAAAATAAGCATCGATTTTTTTCTTTAGTTATTAAAAAAAAACGGACGTATAGGGACCGAGCTTTGGCCAAACGTCCGCGTTACAAACCTGCGTATTATTTTCGTTTTTCAGTTCCGCTTCGTCAGATTTACGATGCATTCATTTTATAAAGGTCTAACGAATAAGCCTAAATCCGTTTTAACAAGTCGATATCGTAAATATCGCGACAACGAGTCCGGGTTAAACGTTTTAAATGTCGTGCGGCGTACGTCGCGGCGCATTTCCTTAATACGTATATAAGGATTTCGTTATTTGCCTATATTTAATCGAAAAATGGCGGAAACGACGCTAGAAACTCGAGAAACCGTTGCGCAACGCAATGAAATCGGAAAAAGTTGAAAAGGCACATCGAAAAAAAAAAAGGAAAGAAAACAGCCACGCCCGCCGCTACCCGATACAAATAAATAACAATTTTAATAAAAAAACATTTGTTATTTTCGCTACTGTTTACGAGCACGTTTAAAAAATTAATAAAACCGTTTCCGTTAATTTTGGAGTAATAAAAGCAAGAGGTAAACCGCAGAGGAATTATGGTCTACAGTATGGCCGGAAAATCCGGGAAATTTTGAAAAATTCCGGAACGCGTGGTTATCCATCCATATTAGCCATTTTTTTTCTCCCCTATTGAATTGAACGACAAACGGATGGATGAACTTTAATTTGTTTAGAATACGGAAAAAATTGCTGCTAATGATATTAAATGTCTTCATATTCTTCTATGGTTTCCGATGTAAAATGTTTATTTCAAAATATTTGGGATGTTTATTATAAATTTTTCAAAACAAATTTTCCTCGTTGCACTTTTATTCAAAATGAATATGGCTAAGACGAAACAAAAGCAAAACCGAAAATATTCTGAACGGACACTAATAAGCAAAAATGTTTCTATTAAACCTCCAACGTGATCATTTATATACGAAAACAAAAATATAAATAAAATAAAATTTCTTATATGCTTTCTGATGTAAAATATTTATATCAAAATATCTGGAATGTTTATTATAATTTTTTCTAAACAAATTTTCCTCGTTGCACTTTTATTCAAAATGAATATGGCTAAGACGAAACAAAAGCAAAACCGAAAATATTCTGAACGGACACTAATAAGCAAAAATGTTTCTATTAAACCTCCAACGTGATCATTTATATACGAAAACAAAAATGTAAATAAAATAAATTTTCTTATATGCTTTCTGATGTAAAATATTAATATCAAAATATCTGGAATGTTTATTATAATTTTTTCTAAACAAATTTTCCTCGTTGCACTTTTATTCAAAATGAATATGGCTAAGACGAAACAAAAGCAAAACCGAAAATATTCTGAACGGACACTAATAAGCAAAAATGTTTCTATTAAACCTCCAACGTGATCATTTATATACGAAAACAAAAATATAAATAAAATAAATTTTCTTATATGCTTTCTGATGTAAAATATTTATATCAAAATATCTGGAACGTTTTTTATAATTTTTTCAAAACAAATTTTCCTCGTTGCACTTTTATTCAAAATGAATATGGCCAAGACGAAACAAAAGCAAAAACGAAAACATATAGCCAATATTTTCTGACTTTTTTCTCGTTTATTGTTTATGGTTTTGACGCAGAAAAAATAATAGATACGTTTTTCATCGTCGAGAATACTAGACACTTTTGATAGAAAAATACAATAATACAATACGTGTATTTTGTTATTTTATTTAAATAAAATTTGTATTGAAATGTTTTCAAATCGATCACGAAAGGAAAACGTAGAAGATGAAAAACCAGCACGCGATGCGGGTGAGGAAGGTGAGAACGGAGATCGGCGATATGAGGGGTGGAACGAAGACAGCGAAAACCGCCCCCGTGTAACAAGCGGGACCGTCGTAAAAAAAAAACAAGCACGCGTGAAAATGGAGAGGGGTTTAGTGCGACACGCGGTGGTTAGTACCGTCGAAAATGAAGAGCCTTGAAATGCGGGGGGGTTTGAAAAAACGATCGTCTTTTATTTTTGCGTTACCTAAATACGGACGGGTTGGAATACGCCCTCGGTCTGGATTCTGGACTTAGCTGGAAACCACCGGCGCTGAGAACGAAAACAATAAGTTGTTTTATAGATTGTTCATAGTTTTTTTAATCTGCAGTCTGCTGAGGGGGAGGTGGACAAAAACAACGATATATACAAGGCTAAAAATCAAATTAAAAAAAAAAAACGTCCGAATACGGCGTTTCCGGTTAGAAACGGCCAAAGCGTGGCGAGGGAAGGTGTGGAGAGGGGAGCGGTGGAAGTTACCTGTGCAAGGGCGAGTCGGGGAACAGGTCCAGGCTTTCCGACACCGACGAACTCGGGCTAGGGGTGGTGTCCGGTAGTCCCCCGTTCCTGATCACCTCCACTTTCTTTTTTACCCTCCCTACAAGTCGAATGGAACTTTTTATGGGGACGCCGCATTGTGGGAAAATCTCTTAATCTAGCACCCAAAACTTTATTTATTAAAAATAATAATAACAATAATAATAAAGGGCCTTTATTCGATTTCGAAAGAGATATAATACGACCAAAAATATAGTGCATTAATTTATTTGATGTTTTAAGCATTTTGCGGTACCTTAACCGCACACCTTCGAGAACGATTAGTGGCGGAGTTGATCATTGAACTAGGTGACGATAGTAGCGATTGTGACGATTTTTTAAGTGACTGATACTCTATTCATATTGTATTTGTATATTAATAATAATACTATGTAGAAATGTAAGAAACAGAACGTAATAAATTGTTACTTTTTATGTACGTGTTTTAAGAATTGCTCGGCGAAAATGATGGAAAACATACTTTCATCCCGCTTGTTAGTGTAGGTGTAGATAAATTCCTAGGACGTTCCTGGAATGGCTACGGGTAAGGGTCTGCTCGGCAGGGTGTTTTATAAGGGGCTGCGGTTTTGGAGTAATCAACAGTAGGCAAAGTTAATCACGTGATCGGCTATAAAAGCACTATATTTCTGGTCGAAGTATATATTACAAAACAAAAACGAGCATATGACACTGTTTATAATATAAAATGTAGCATATAAATTACATAGACATTCATTCAAAGTTGTAGAGTTAAGAGTGAATTTAAAAAAGAAAGAGATAAGAAAAAATAACTCAACTACAATTTGATGCGTTACTAGTTTTATGATCGGTCTCTACTATGATAAATGTATTGTATACGTTTTTGTTTAAATGAAGTCAATTGGAGAGGGAGTTTGTTGTAAGCCGTGAAACTGCGCTGGAACGGTGCTGAAGTATGTTTGGAAACGGTAAACAGCATACATTTTACTAAGGCAATTGGCATTCATTCGTCACGTTGTAAGTAGTTTTTTTTTTATTTTTGGCCTTTCGGTGTCAATTGTTGATAGACATCTAAAAGTCAAACATTTAGGATCAATTGAGAAGGCACAAAGGGGGACAAAACTTGAAGTGGCCTAGCACAATCTTTTAGCAGAAATAAGAATAGCTAAAATGTCGAGAAACGAGGCTCAATGACCAAATATAAATTTTTATACCTACTTCATCGTTCTTGCGTTTTTTTTTTTTAAATTAATGTAAATAAAAACTAAAACTATCGCTTTACATATGAGAATATCGATCGATCTCATTCGAACACGAAAATTTAACGAATAGATTTACCAGCTCATTTAAGAAAATATTTTAAACTGCCCTTATTACGCGAATTATTAGAGACTAAATAATAACGTTTTTTTAATTTCTTTTTTTATTTTTTTATTAAGTTGGAAAACGTTTGCGTGCTAATTTGAAAGATTTGCCCACAGTGGAACGGGGAAATATTGAGGTTGAGACGTACCTCGTCTTTTTTCAAATTTGCTAGTTTCCATCGACGCCGCCCGTCGTCTAACCGACTTGCCGGGTTTGGCTTCCGGGTTGATCATCCACCACGACGATTTGCCGGTACCTTCGTTTTGTACCCTCATGAACCGGTTATGGAGGGACAGGTTGTGCCTTATTGAGTTCTGCAAAATAAAAGATAACGGTAAACACGTGGGAGATGAGGGTCCTGAGAGGTTTAGCCCGTCAGTGATTTGTCTTCACAAAAAAAAGCAAATAAAACGTCCTCAAAACTGTTTAAACAACGCCTGCAAACAAGTAGGCAACGCAAACTCACGGGATTTCATAATATTTAAATAGTTCCAAGGAACTTAATTCCGGTTTACGCAGCGGCGAAAGAATAAATACTGATAACGCGCGATATTATCAGGATTTTTCCCATTTAAAGTGTTTAATAATACGGGTAGCAACTACTACTGCCAAATAAAGTTTAGAAGTTAATTTTACAATCAGCTATTTGACGTGAAGCGTATATTGCCAATTTAGTGATCGGCCATTAAAGAGCTGATAAAGGAAACCTATATAACCTGGCTATAACACACGTCTTTTTGCTTAGTTAACGAAAGTCCTATAACCTCTCGTTTAAGCTTGAAGCCATGCTGGCGTATCCATCCCTTTGGAGCTGTCATCGTCCAATTTGACTTGATGTAAAAGTGTGCGTGCAGCTGGAAGCACAATTTGCCTGATGTAGCCTAAGTGCTGTGACGGAGGCTATTCTCCGTCACTTACGGATACAGATTAGATAGTGGCGTCGCCCTACTGTCAGCAACATCAAGATTCAGTTTTCCAGCATGTGGGCCGCGAGGTCACTAGATTTATCGCTAAAAAAGATCATCCGATGGTATTGGATATGTCATGTCGTAAATTTATTCTGAGAGTACCTGCCACAGGCAGATATCGACGATGTAATTCGCTACGTACCACAAAAGATTACAGAATGTTAAGAGTTATTATTGAATTTTTATTCCTACTCCTATTTCATCTGCGATTCAGACTGTTCGATCTATTATGCCCGTGCGGCTTCACTGTCTTCCCTAAAAGAGCACTATACTCTCGAGCAAGTACAGTTATCTGTTTCACGGGAAGTTTAGGCAGTTCCTCGAGTTCAATGAATTGAGCTCCTAGTGCTCTCAATCGGCCGCCCCTAGTGGTGCGCAGCTGGTTAGTAGATGAATTGGAGTTTCCTCCTCTTCTAAACACAGTTTTGTAAGGATTCCACCAGCCTACCTGATTGAATTCTTAGGAAAATATTGCATTGTATCCATAACTATATTTAAACTAAACTTTCATATTCTACCGTATTTTATCATCGATTTCATCTTTCCTCTTTCATCATGTTCATATACGCCTAATAAAGCTCCTAAAATTTCTGCGCATTTCCTGTATGATATGTGTCCTATAATCAAATACACTAGTTTTTGAGATACATGCGCTTTTAACATAAAAAAACAAACTGAGAGTTACCAATTGCAGACAGAGAGCTGAAGATAGTGATTTAAGGACTTTTAAAGCTATTTAATTTTGGGATAGGAAATAGGTATTAGGGCATAATTAGGTATTGCATAATATTATACGAAATGTTCTCTCCTTTCTGGCTAGACTGGATGTTTGTTGAAATTTTTCATGATTCGATGAAAGTTTTTTTTGTCTGAAATTTACAATCGTACGTAGTCCACTTTGAGCCAATTTAGACGTCTTAGTTGGTCAATAAACGTTTCCAAAAATATCTGCGAATAAGGCGTTTTAAATGTGATAAAAGGAGCACAACTTTTACCTGTCTCTACCAGTTACAAACATTTTGTTCACTTCACATCCACCTAAGACATAGATTCTAAATTCTAGAATATTATTTTATATTTACAGAATAGAAATATGCAGAATTTTTAGGGGATTTTATTGGGCGTATAATATACAGGGTGTTTCATTAAAATTAAAAAACATATAACTTAACATAAGGTTTGACATATTATATTATTATTATTATTATATTATTCTCTAGAAAGGTGAATCAGTCATCCGTTCTGGCATGGGTACGGTCAAAAATATATCCCGCAGAAACTCCGCAAGTATCCCCGATCATAATCTACATCGCCGTAAAACCGCCTCCGCCTCCGTTCGACTATCAATCAACTTGGACGTCTGCTACACGGATCTGACGCCGCCGGTGAGCAAAAAAAAAGACGGGCAAGTCTACAGACTAGCCGGCGCCGGAGTCCTCCCAGGTAACCCCAGCATCATCACACGCGATTATGTAAATGGCATCTCTCCTAGCTATCCGACGGCGCTTTGTATTCAGATCCGCTGCAATAAAATTCCGGGAATTAAATCGGCGCTTCCCGAAACTTCAGAACTGATACTAATCAAAGTTTGGGAAGTTGTACTTTTATGATTTTTATACGCGAAGCCGTAACTCTGCGGTTCGGTGGGGTTAAGCGACATCGGGGTCGCCCGTAAACGATTTATTTATTACGTCTACCGGAATTTTACCGTCGCCGAGACGATAATCCTACCGACTGCGCCGGTTAACCGGAAAAAAGGGAACGGTTCTTATACGACTTGTTAGTTCTAACTTACGGGTGATTCTGTTTTAACTGTGATTTCTTATGCCTTTTATTGTTTGTATTAATTAATAGTACAAATTTTGTATAAATTAGATGATCATTAACATATTTCATCATATATAATTTGATGTTTCATGTCAATTTCTAAAATTAATAACAAATTACCTCACAAATTTATATTTCTATGATCAAACTAAAAAAAATGGCACTTTTCGGTTAATGTTTTAAGTTAACACTAAATTCCGGTGAAATAACTTTTGTTTGTTGTTTGTTTATGTTAAAAGGGACATTTGCACATCGAAACGCTGTGATATGATATTTTTATAGTTGACATTTCAAAAATAAGTATTTATAGGGTGATTAAAAACTAACATTAAAAAATTAAATCGAAAAATCGGCAAAGCTTCTTTTCGATTTCTATAAAATTTGAAAAAGTTTGTATAAAATTACCTGGTTGCGTATTTGAAAAAGCAGTAGATTTAGAAATATTAACAATTCAATAGTAAAAATGCTATAAGAATATTGCGAACAATTGACAAAGAAAACCTTCGAGCACGACGGCAATGACGCCTGTCGTTTGACAGTTTTTTAAAAATCTTATAAACCATGCCCGGCAAATTAAGCGATTATCTTTTGAACTTGTTTTATTAGTATGTATTTTATTCATTTGGTATTAGAATTTTTCCTGTTACATTTAGAAAAACGTTGTACAACTATGAAATCTTTTTTTTTTATTAAAATGACAACAATAATAAAAAAATGAATAAATTAGGTGACATAACACTTTCAAACATTGATATCCAAAGTTTCACTGGTGTTATTTCAAAGCTTATGACATTTTCAATAGACAGCCTTACAAAAAGTCTTTTTTTTTAATGCTAAATACAACATAATTACAAAAATGACTTATGTACTGTATTTATTTATTTATTTTAAAAATATCAAAACAGACGACTACAGTGGCAATGCAAGTGGCAATACGAAGCAATCAACCGCACATATATAAGTATATATAAGTAATTAAATAAAAAAAAGAGATAGATAAATAGACCGACAGACCTGAAAACGTTTAACTTTTGACACAAAATATCAGAAACAGTAAGACGCGGAATATGTATAGAAAGCTCACAGGAATTGAAAAATATAATATAATATTTTAAAAGTATAAATGAATTTTTTTTTTATATTTTTCACAGGTTGTAGCATAAGATATCATCCTATAATAAACGGACCTCGAATAACTATAGTAATGTATGTTTAGCTTTAGGATCCTTAGAACAATGTTTTTTTTTTCTTTTTTTCTTTTATTGGAATGTTAAAACTAACCTTAATATATATATATGGGTCACTTCAAAATTCCAACAAATGTAAACAATTATTACCTAATCTTGATAGCACAGCTGTAATGCCTATAAAATTTTATGATCATTTGATTAATTTAATGAAAGGGCGGCACCGGGCAAATAAATTTAAATATCTACTTAAAGATAGTTTGGTGCGTCATGCTTTTGAAGGTGATTTCGAAAAGGTGACTTTCATTAAATGTTTGACGGCAGTGGGGACTCTTCTGAAATAGCGATTAGACCATTTAATGATCTAACTTTGTCCAGAAATATCAAATTCTCGTCCATGGTGTTCACGACCTCACATGATTCTCTAAGAAAGAAACTATTCGACTTTATCTTTCCTTTTCTTGCTTTCACTTTGCATTTTTTTAAGCACTCGCTAGGACGGTGCTTATAAATTTAAATTCATTTTTTTTGTTTTATTGATGACAAAGCTTGTCATAATATTATTTACTATGACAACAGAAATAAAAAAACTAATTAAAATTTAACAACTCGAGTAGATACAGCTGCAGTTTTAAAAAGAGGCTTCAATAAAAAGTTAAAACGGGGTACCACTAGACAACTCAATTAAAAAATTTAATGGTAGAGGAAGTTATTTAATTTAATTCAAACTGAATTAGAGTAGTATCTTTGGGAATAAAAAGAAAAAGATGTTATACAAATTGTTCTCAGACACGAGACGGCAGTTGATGTCTATGTATCGGACATCGTCGATGACAACATGGTAAAATATTCAGGCCCAGTCGATGTATGCAGATTGGAATCGAACGATCAAGATCCCTTCCCCTTCGCCGCGCCACTTATCCTCAATCACGACCGTATCACTAAGATATGACTGAAAACATGGCATCAAAGAAACTGTAACGTATACGTGTGTGTATTCGTGCGTTAAATATGTCTATGGGAGCTTAGGAAATGAACACTGTGCGACAGAAGCGTTCCTTCCTCTATTTGGAGTCTGTCTCACTGCTTGTCAACCCCCCCCCCCCCCCCAATGCTTCTTTTGATCAATTACGGTAATGCTATTTCCTTTATTTGAAAATGCTTCTGTTTTTACTAGAACCCTTTTTTAAACACGCGTTAAAACGGGCTGCAAAAATGAGTATAAAACTCGTAATTACTTTTTTGGGAGGATCCGTCAAAATCCAAGACGATATACTTTGAGACGCACTTTAAGCAAACCTTCTCAGCGAAAAATACGGCAATAATAAGACA